CCCCCCCCCAAAAAAAAAGAAATGTACTCATTACCTTGCTTATGTAGTTGTAACCTCTCTATATGGTATTTTCACAATAAAAAAAAAACTTATTAATTAAAAAAAAAGAGTTTCATGGACTTTCCTGCTTGGGCTGGCTTTGAACCAAGATCCTCAGATCTCAGCCTCCTGAGTAGCTAGGCAGGCGTGAGCTACCAGCGCCTGGCTGCTTCCAGTTTTTGAGTGGTTAGTTGGAGATAAGAGTCACAGGGACTAGGCCTGAGCTAGCTTCAAACCACAAACTTGAGATCTTTGCCTCCTACATAGCTAGGATTGTAGACATGAGCCACTGGTGCCTGGCTCTTCTTTTTCTCCTTTTTTTTAAAGAATGAAGTAGTTGAAGCAAGATTATTATGCCTATATGTCCCCCCTGGCAGGCTGGCACCCCGCATAGCATCAGCAGCTGTATGAGAGGAAAAGTTCTTGACTAGAATGTGGAGAAGACCTACAGCATTTGGATCATTTTCTTTTTGTTTTTATTTTTAAGAAAGCATGCAGCCATTTGCCAGAGTGAATTGTTTACTTCAAGAGTAGGACCTGGGCTGAGTGGGGTGGGGTGCTGGGGCACCCCCATCCTGAGTTCCCCTGGGTCCTGTGTGTCATGCAGCCTGGGTGGGTGCTGAGTAACCCTTTCTGAGCTGCATCTGTTTGCTTTCAGATCGACTACCACTACATCTCCTCGCAGGGCTTTCCCATCGAGGGCTGGGCCGTTGTGTACTACATAACACACCTGTAAGTATACAATGTGTGTCACACAAAGCACAAGGCGGGGGGACGCGACTGTGACGTCATTGGGTGTGAGGAGCCTCACTGGGGTCTGCGTTCTGGCTTCTCTTCCAGCTTGAAAGGGGCCCTGCTGTTCATCACCATCGCGCTCATCGGCACGGGCTGGGCTTTCATTAAGCACATCCTGTCAGATAAGGACAAGAAGATCTTCATGATTGTCATCCCACTCCAGGTGAGGGACCCATCTGCTGCTGTTCCCTCTCAGTTCCTAGCAGGGCTCAGCCCCAAGTCCAATCAGAGCAGGCGGCCGCTGGCCTGGAAACCCATTTCTGCCTTTGGGAGTGGAGCTTTGCTTTCTGAATTCCAACACACTGAAACAGGTCCTTGAACACTCTTGGGAATCGCTCGATGGTCACTTGTCTGAATGCCCAGGCTGGATGGAGAGCTGTGGGAAAGCCTCCTGCATCCATTTGCCCTCTAGCACAATAGTCTTCTTTGTGAGGATGCCCAGATACTGCCATTTTATCAACAAAGCATTTCAAAATGTGGAAGGCTTCGGGAAAACAGTTGCGGGAAGAAGCCACAGCTGGGGCTGGTGGGAAGACAAATTCCACAATTGGTTTTGCATTTGAACTAAGTGAGGATTGGATTCTCTGAGAATCTAATAAGTCCTGGATGGAAAGAGAAACTACACTTCAAGACCTCCTCAGCTCCTTGAAGTTGAGTGCAGACCTATGGGGTTTTGATCCCTGCAGGTACTCCTAACAGTAATCTTCAAAAGAACATGCAAATAAATTGTAAATTTCTGCTATGCTCAGAGGCATCTCAGCGAGCATTTGAAACACTTGCCGTGACTGTGGGACAGATCCCAGGCAAAGCTTCGCTTCAGAAGCGGAATCCAATGTGGCTAAAGCTGAGCCACAGGGAAGAAGTGGGGCGTGCGCAGTGTGAGGGGCCTGGCCTGGACTTCCACCCGTGAGGAGCAGGGTAGCTGCTCAGCCCTGGGGCTCAAACTGCCATTCTTGCTGCGCTAGTCTGTGACACGTAGAGACTACATCTTGTAGAAGAGGGTCAGAGTTCCACAAGGGCCGGTGGGACTGGGGACAGCGCTGTGTTCTCAGGCTGGGGTCCGCAGGCCTGGCTGAGCACCCACCGGGTCTGCTGTCGTAGCAGTCACCCAGGCTTCGAGGCCTCCACAACCTCTCCTGTCCTGTAGGTCCTGGCGAACGTGGCCTACATCATCATCGAGTCCACCGAGGAGGGCACGACGGAATACAGCTTGTGGAAGGACTCTCTGTTCCTGGTGGACCTGCTGTGCTGTGGGGCCATCCTCTTCCCTGTGGTGTGGTGCGTAGCCTGCAGGGGGTGTGGCTCACTGCAGTTCGGCTGTCCCCGAGCAGCAGCTGACCAAATCACACAAGTCATGAGGCCCAGGCCACCCCAAACCAATCCTAGGGACCTATGTCTTCTGAGGTCACTTTGCGAGGCCGTGCAGGCCCAGTGCTCACACAGTAGCAGAGTCTAGAAATGAGAACTTAGCAGCATGAGCCTGATCATACACAGCAGCTATCATCTTGGGTAGGAAATTAGTAGAGTTCCCCGAGTGAGCTTTTCTTACCATTCAGAGGGGAAACGAGGGAGAGTGATAACAGCTGGTGCTGGTCTTCAGCGCTCTGGAGGGTGGCTTGCTTCATGCCTAGAATGGCAGCCCATTGGCACCACTTCTGTTGGAAACAGCGTTCATGCCCAGTCGCTGTCTGACAGGAATCACTATCCCTGTTCCATCTCGTGCAGGGTGATGGAAGTTGTTGGTTTAGTGGAAGAGAGCAGGCTGGCAAGGGCAGCACTCCATTTGTCCTTATTGGTCTGGGCCATAGCCATTTGAATGTTTCTTAGTGCTGTGCCCTGCAGCCACCATCCTGAGGTGTGCCAGGCTCTGCAGGCCCAGTGGTGGGAATGGTTTGGTCTTAATGGGATGGGTCAGCAGATAGCCGCGGTGTAGAACGTGGTACAGTCTTCCTTGGTGACTGTTCACATGCCTAGAATGCCAGTCTGCAGCCTCCTTAGCAGTGCTGCTGTCCCCTCCTGAGTGTTAATGATGGCAATTAGTTACCAGCAGAGAAAGGCTCCCTGGAGGCTGTTCTGTGCACTTACAAATCTCAGTGGAGAGCGTTTGTGTGAAGCCACATGTCCAGCTCCCAGACCCAGACTTAGAAATTGGCTGTGAGTCGGGCGCTGGTGGCTCACGCCTATAACCTAGCTACTCAAGAGACTGATATCTGAGGATCGCGGTTCAAAGCTAGACAGGCAGAAAAGTCCCTGAGAGACTCTTTATCTCCAATAAACGACTCAAAAACCCAAAGTGGTGCTGTGATTCAAGTGGTAAGAGAGCTAGCCTTGAGCACAAAGAAGCTCAGGGACAGTGCCCAGGCCCTGAGTTCAAACCCCACGACAGACAAAAGAAAAAAGTTGACGGTGACTTTCTTCTAAGACCCATTCTCCTCATGAGTTCAATGATGTGCTCTTGTCCTGAGCTTGGCCCAGGTGGCCAGGAGGAGCTATCAGGAGGGCTAAATGGTAACTTGCTCCTCACTCCAGCCCAGCCAGATTTACTTGTTGCCATAATTTGATTTTGCCAGCAGAGGGCATCTTCACCCTCACAGACTTAAGCACCATAAATGGCAAAGTGTGGGTTGTCGAAGATTGCTTTGCTTTTTTCTTTCTTTTTTTTTGAAGTGTGCTCTTAAGTCTTGTGGTCTAATCCTTTTGGTTTATAATTGGGGAATTGTACTGGAGCCATAACTAGAGAAGAATGAAAATTTGTCAGCTAATCTCTCTCAATGCTTATTTTTAGGTCCATCAGACATTTACAAGAAGCCTCGGCCACAGATGGAAAAGGCAAGTTTTCCTGGCCCTTTGTGTTGCTTGCTCTCCCTGAGTCTGCATGCCAGACACTCCTGAGCTGGACGATCGGGGAGGTGTTAAGGGCAGGTGTGGGGTGCTCCAGAGACTGGCTGCAGGAAGAGGCTTGGGGGTGATGGCTGCAGAACTGGTGATTCATTTCATTCCCACTCGTGACTGTGATTTTCACCTTCTCAAAGCGGAGTCAGAAAGCAGAGCTCATCACACTTCCCTGGAGGAGCAGGTCTGTGGACGGGGGTGCGCTGCAAAGCTGGCCTTCCTGCCCACTTCACCAACATGCTTTCCAAAGAGCTGGGTCCAGGTTCATGAAGGTGGGACTGAGGCCTGCAGCACCTTCAGAATGACCTGTCATAGCCCTGCACATCTCCTTGTTTTCAGCCTGCCTCCTGAGTCAGGAAGCAGGCCACGAGGCAGCACCATGTGCTTCCTCCACGGGGCTGTCTTGAACCATTCCATGGGCCCAGGCTGCCAGGCATGGCTGGGAACGTGAGGCTGGAGAGCGCACGGCTCCTCCAGCCCTCTGCTGATGGCAGCGCTCTGCAAGGCACCTTGTTCATTAATAGTCAAAAAAAAGTAAGCAGTGGGAGTTCTTTTTAAAAATAAATGGCTTAGCCAGGTGTTGGTGGTTCACACCTGTAATCCTAGCTATTCAGGAGGCTGAGATCTGAGGATTACACTTTGAAGCCAGACTAGGCAGAAAACTCATCTCCAATTAACCACTCAAAAACTGGAAGTACAGCTGTGGCTCTAAGTAGTAGAGCACTAGCCTTGAGCAAAAGAGCTGGGGGCGAGGCGCCAGACCCTGAGTTTAAGCCCCACAACCACACACGCACACACACACACACGATGGCTATACACTTCCAACAGCCATGGTATATACTTGATATATTATTTCATTTAAAAATTTTTGGTCTATTTAGAAACAAATAGCGATTGAACCAGCACTTTATCATGTTAGGCATGTGCAAATGACATATTGTTCCTTGTGGATGAATGAGATGTGTGTGTGTGTGTGTGTGTGTGTGTGTACATGCCATATTTCTTCACTCATTTATCATGGTGGGGCATCTGGGCTGTCTCTCTAACTGGGCTGAATAATGCTGGGCTAACGTGGCTGTTGAGGTCCTTTGTTGACTCTGGATAACACCATTTCTCGATGTTGAATTTCCCTATCAGGTGCGCATGCTGCGATCTGTTTAGGCTCTCGCCAGTTTGTCAGAACAGCCAGTTACTGTGGGCTCGCTCCATCCCCCAGGCTCCTGCCACTCTTGATTCTGGGCTGCCTCTCATGTGAAGATCTTGCCCAGGCTGAGAGCTGATCCGTGTGCAAGTCCTAGTGCCCCTCCCCCCCAGCCTCCAGTGTCCTCTGCCTCCTTGGATTTTGTCTCTAGCCCTTCCCTCGTTGACATTCTCCTCTTTCACTCCTGGTCTGTGGTATCTCCCCATCTGTGGCTCCCTGGTGACACATTTCACCAGCTGCACTGTCGACAGCGAAGATAGCTGCGCCATGTGCTGATGGCTCCCCTAGAGGAACAGAGAGCCCTGACCTGCTTAGAATGGGGTGCAGGAAGCGCCTGCTGCAAACGTCGACGCCCACCTTCTGCAGTAACTGTTGGAGACATTCTTTTTTTTTTTTTTGGTCAGTGATGGGGCTTGAACTCTTGGCTCTAGGCTAGCGCTCTACCACTTGAGCTACAGCGCCACTTCTGATTTTCTGGTGGCTCATTGGAGACAAGAGTCTCACAGACTTTCCTGCCTGGGCTGGCTTTGAACCTCAATCCTCAGATCTCGGCCTTCCGAGTAGTTAGGATTATAGGCGTGAGCTATCAGTGCCCAGCTAGCATTCTTTTTTTTTTGTTTTTTTTGGGGGTCCGGTCATGGGGCTTGAACTCTGGGCCTGGGCACTGTCCCTCAGCTCTTCAGCTCAAGGCTAGCGCTCTACTTCCTGCTTTTTTTCTTTTTGCTTATGTGGTGCTGAGGAATTGAACCCAGGGCCTCATGCATGTAAGGCAAGCGCTCTACCACTGAGCCACCTTCCCAGCCCTCAGTAACATTCTTGAACTTCTGTATTCCCTGTCTTTGCATTTATATAAAAGGCAATCGATTTTTGTAATGTAATGAGTAGGGTTTTTAAAAAATAATTTTAAAGTGTTGAGACCTATCTCTTTCATCTTACATACTTTGATTTTTTTTTTTGGTCAGTTGTGGGTCTTGAACTCTGGGCCTGGGCACTGTTCCTCAGCTTTTCAGCTGAAGGCTAGTGCTCCACTTGAGCCACAGCGCCACTTCCAGTTTTCTGAGTGGTTTATTGGAGATGAGAGTCTCACAGACTTTCCTGCCCGGGCTGGCTTTGAACCTCGATCCTCAAATCTCAGCCTCCTGACTAGTTAGGATTTACAGGTGTGAGTCACCAGTGCCTGGCATTTTTTTTTTCTTACTATCCAACTGCAGACACTGTAAAATGTTTTACATTCCCAGTTGGCAAGCTGTGTTGTAGCTTCCTCACCAGTGTCTTTTCCCTCATCCTCATTCTGACTCCTTCCTGCCCCTCATTCGCTTCCCATAAGGTGGTGGCAGTCTAGGATCGGCCTGAGGTAGAGGCGCGGCAGTGGGGCTCTAGATAGTCCTCACTGTCCTCCAGCACCTGTATAGCGAAAAACTGCAAGCCCAGATGCTCCTTCATGGGAGTTTGCGAGGTAGTTCCCCATGTTTCCCAGAAGGTGGCAGTAAGGGACTTCTTCAGAGAAGAGATGGCAAGCTGGGTGCCATTTCTCCTCCACAGGCACGCCAGCCCTTTGAGAGAAGAAGGGAGAATTAGAGTGGAATGACTTTGAGCTGATCCACAAATGCTTATGTCACTCTGCCCTTAAGATGGTTCTGTTGATGGTACTTCCAGAGTCATGGCCATGACCCCTTATGGAAGCACCCACAGGTGACGCGTAGACATGGGGTACCTGCAGCAGTCGCAGGGCGCCAATAGTGTGCCTGTGCTGGGGGGCATGGGGGCTCACCCTCAGAACAGACGGTGGAGCACAGAGCCAATTGCTGGTTCTATGTGGTTACCTCTGCATGCCTCAGTTCACCCGCCCTGAAGCACAAGACAGCGCACAGAAGGGCAGCTGACTTAGCCACCTTGCTGTCTGTCCAGAATCTCGTGGTGTGTGAGGGCTGCAGGCGGTGTATTTGGAAGCAGTTTGCTGGGGGGAGCTGGACATTGGTTCAGATTCTTTTTGTGGTTGTTGTCGGCCTTGAACTCGGGCGCTGTCTCTGAGCCCTTCAGCTCAAAGCTAGCGCTCTACCACTAGAGCCACGGTGCCACTTCTGGCCTTTCCTGTGTATGTGGTGCTGAGGAATCAAACCCAGGTTCTCATGCATGCAAGGCAAGTGCTCTACCACTGAGCCATGTTCCCAGCCCTCGTCTGACTTTTTTTTTTTTTTGGTCCGGTCGTGGGGCCTGAACTCTGAGCCTGGGCGCTGCTCTTCAGCTCAAGGCTAGCACTCTACCACTTGAGCCACAGTGCCACTTCCGGCTTTTTTTCTTTTTGCTTATGTGGTGCTGAGGAATCGAACCCAGGGCCTCATGCATGCAAGGCAAGCGCTCTACCACTGAGCCACCTTCCCAGCTCCTCTACCTCATTATTCTTATCTCCACCTTTCCCACAGCTGCTCCCGGCACAGGCACTGTGTCGATTTGTCAGGGATCTCCTATTCAAGGCTTTGGTCAGTGTGGCCCCGGGGCTTGTGTGGTCTTCACCCTGCCTTGCAGCAACTGCTCATGACTGTGGAGGAGAGCCTTGTTCCCCCATCCCCCTGCAGGGCCCACCGAGCCAGCGCTTAACTGGATCCCAGGAGGAGCAGAGCGGGAGGTGGGTTGCCAGCCAGGCTCTGCCGTCTCCTCCTCTCCTCAGCTTTTGTGTTGACTTCTTCCTGTTCCCTTGGTGCGCGGCGGGGACAAGGCTAAGAGAAAGGCACGAGGCTGAGCGGAAGGCGTGCTGGGGTGCTGGGATGTTTTTAAGCCGTTCTCTGTGCCCGGGGAAGAACTTGTGGGGAATGTTTCTCCTGCTAAGAGGCTGTCAGGGGCCTTTGCTTCTGCGCGCGCCGTGAATCACGCGGCACCAGCTTCCAGAGCAGCCTGCTGGCAGCTCCAGGGCAGCACCAGCACTTGGAATCATGACTGCATTGCCTTTAACCGCCAGTGGGTTCAGAGCTTTGAGTCGCTGCTCTCAGTGTGACGTGTGGGTGGTATTAGTTTAGGCCTCCCGGAGAGGTGGCCCGGGGCTTGAAGACTGGCTTCTCTTGCGCTGGGAGACTGAGTAATTCACTTCACTTTCACCAGACCTAGGGCGCTGGTGTGGGAGATGGCAGCCGTGTTCCGCTTCCCGGAATGTTTGTCATCATCCTAAGTCCACCTAAGAGAGCCAGGGAGGGGGTGACGTGAGGTAAGGTGCGGGGCAGAAGATGCGGCGAGCTGAGGAGGCCCAGCTCTCTTGCGACCATGCACACTACGCTGGTCGCTCTACCGCAGGCCAGAGTTGAGCGTTCACAGCCTGTCCTGCCTGCCTTGTCACCGTTTTCCTGGTTGATTCAGAGGAGGAGGAACCGGCAGAAGCTCCTGGAGCGAGGGTGGGTGCTGGCCCTCCCCTCCATCAGGTCCTCTGAGTATTCCTAGCAGATGCCGTGGGATTGGAGGCTGCCTGGCTATCTGCTCCTAGATATGCTCTCCAGGTCACTGGGGCCTCCTTTGTTCTGGGGGTGGGGGGAGGCAGCGGGCCTTGTGCTGCAGGCTGCAGGGCTGAGTGCGGGCCTCTGGCACCTCTCCCTGCTCGTTCTTTTACCATATTTGCTGCTGCTCCGAGGCAGGGTCAGAAATAGCCAGGCCAGCTCCCAAGGGAGTCCAGCTCCCCTGGTGGCCAGAGAGCAGCCAGCTGTCAACCTCCGCCATCCAGGGAGATTTGGGGTTCCACGCTGCACCCTGCTTCTTGGCTACTGGCCCCTGGGCTGGCTGCCCTGTCCTGCCCGGGCCTCATAGGGCTTCTTTCAGAGAACCTGGCTCTCCGCACTCCCGCTTCCCATGTGCCCTGGTTTAGCTTCCTAGGGCCTGGATTCCTGCCAGTTGTGGCAGCTGCCATGACACAGTAAATGCCACCTTTAGTGTTGACTAATCCCGTGTGATCCTACCGATTCTAATACTGTACCGTCCAGCCTATTGTGCTGACCAGGAGCCGTCCGCTGCTTGTGTGCCAGCCCCGTAATGGCCTGTGTCTCCTCCATGAAGAGGCTTGCTGTGGCAGCTCTTGCTCAAGAGCTTCAGCTGCAGAGGCCTGATCCTTGCCAGCAGCATCCCTACACAGGTGCCGTACCTTGGCTGGAAACCACTGAAGCTCTGTCTGTTCCCAAGGTCCCTTGGTCCAGATGGCATGGCACCTGGGCGTAGTGGCATTTCTCTGCTGTGCAGGCTCACCAGTGGGGATCTGCAGCCTGCCTCCTCGGGAGAGCATTCAGCCCAAGAAGTATGACAGTGGCAGACGATGTCAGGAGGTGCTGGGGTGGCGCATTCTGTGCACATTCCTGTACGTGACCATCAGAATCTCAGGGCCTTGGCCCACATTGTCCTCTGAGAGCCTGCTGGCTCCCTTCATTCTTTCCCCCATGGAAGGAAAGGAAAGAGATCATCAGACTGTACCTTAAGACTTCTTCCATTGCCCTGCCTTGTCTCAGCCACACAGTGCCGGCCTGGTGAGACTGATCCCCGCCCTGTCCACACCCCTTTCAGAGGGCTGCTAGGCACCAGAACGTCTGACTCCACTGGGTTCTTACTTTTGGTTCTTTCTCTTAAAGCTCCCTGGGCCCCTAAAACCAATGAGGTGGGCAAGTTCAGGCTCTTGGCCCTACCCACCAGGCCCTCTCATGTTTGGGAGAGCCTGTTCTGCTAACTCACTCACCCTGCTCCCGCGCCTGCCCGAGGCCTTCTCTCAGTTCCTCTCTTTCTCCTCCCAACCCTGGTGCTGAGATGGGGAATGAGCCTTGGCTCTTCTCTGCATGCCTGGCAGCTCTCAGGCACACCGGGAGTCTTGTTAGGATTTATTAGCAAGCAAAGTTCAGAGATCACCTTTCAGATATTTGAATCATTCACAGAGGAAAAATTGTTGTTCACGTTTTCTTTTTTTTTGGGGGGGGGGTCCGGTTGTGGGGCCTGAACTCTGGGCCTGAGCACTGTCCCTCAGCTCTTCAGCTCAAGGCTAGTGCCCTACCACTTGAGCCACAGTGCCACTTCTGGCTTTTTTCTTTTTGCTTATGTGGTGCTGAGGAATCAAACCCAGGGCCTCAGGCATGCAAGGCAAGCGCTCTACCACTGAGCCAGCTTCTCAGCCCTGTTCACGTTTTCTTGTTTGGTTGTTAGTGGGACTTGAACTCTGGACCTGGGCACTGTCCCTGAGCTCTTCAGCTCAAGGCGAGTGCTCTACCATTTGAGCCACAGCGCCACTTCCAGTTTTCTGGTGGTTCATTGGAGATAAGAGTCTCATGGACTTTCCTTCCCAGGCAGGCTTTGAACCGTGATCCTCAGATTTCAGTCTCTGGAGTAGCTAGGGTTACAGGTGTGAGCCACTGGTGCCCAGCTGTTTTTCTTTTCTTTCGTTTTGTTTGGTGGTGGTGGTTGTTTTCAGAACTGGGGTTTGTACTTGGGGCTTTAGATTTGCTAGGCTGACACTATCACTTACCACACCTCCACCCCAGATTTTTGCTGGTAATTTTGGAGCTAGTCTTTCTCAGACTTTTCTGCTCAAGCTGGCTTTGAAAACTACAATTCTCTAGATGTCAGCCTTCTGAGGTGCTGACCCACTAGTGCAGAGCTGGTTCAAGATGTATTTGCTTGTGTTGGAGGCTGTACTTCTCATCTGGTATCTGGCTGTGTGGCAGAGTGGGGTCCTGGCCAGTCCTCGCATTGAATGTGGCCATTGGAGCAGAAGACACAGATGGGTCATAACAATGGGCACTCTGACTAGTCAGTCCAGTGCATCTTAGCTCTACTCTCTGTGATGCCTTGCTCACCCCTGGATAGAAAGAGCCATCCTTGGGCCTTTCCCCGTTGGTGCCATCTACTGGGTGTCTAACTCTGGCAGGGTGGAAGCCCTGACTGCCAGGGACCTGCTTATACCCCAGGCCTGGCACAAGTCAGGGGCTGGTACTGTGTAGTAACTTAATGCAACAAAGGGTGAGAACCAGATTTTAAAAGTCTCCCAGTAGGGTTGGAGGTGTGGCTCTGCTAGCAGAGTGCTAGCCAGTGAGCAAAAGCCACAGGTACTGAGTTTGAGTTGCGCGGGGGGGGGGGGGGGGGGGGGAGATTTCAGACCTTAAAAAAAAAGTGGGCTAGGAAGGTGGCTCGGTGGTAGAGTGCTTGTCTTGCATGCATGAGGCCCTGGGCTCGATTCCTTAACACCACATAAGCAGAAAAAGCCAGAAGTAGCGCTGTGGCTCAAGTGGTAGAGTGCTAGCCTTGAGCTGAAGAGCTAAGGGACAGTGCCCAGGCCCAGAATTAAACCCACGACCAGAAAGAAAAAAAAAAGTCTCCCGGACATGTTTCAAGAGATACCATTTGGTGATCTGTGGACTGTGATCCCCCTTCTTCCCGCTGCTGTGTGTGTATGCACACGTGTCCCAGCCCATCCCTGCTCTGGGCGTGGGTGCTCAAGCCCTGACCTAGCGCCAGGATTCCTCGGAAACCTTCCTGAACTACTCCCCCCACCTAATGGATGCACTCGGTTTGTAGGAAGTCCTTTCACAACTGGTAATCACCTTGAAGATAATTTACAATTCCAGGAATTTCTCTCCTAAGCTTGGTTACTCCCCACCACCACCACTCCCCCCCCCCATGGTAGGGGGAGGAAATCCAAACCTTTGCCACCCACAGTCCTGTTCTTAAGCGGAATCAGTAATTGAATGCTGTTAAGCAAAATTAATTTGCCTCCTGCAGGAGGGTTGTGATGAATGGAAGGGTGGCTAATGGGGAGGGAGCCAGGCTGCCCTCTGCTCATCAATATTGAATGGCCGTGGGCTGTGTCAGGAAGCTGGATATCCTGGCTGGGCTGACCTTGCCTGCCCCTGGCAGGCTGCATTTAAACAGCTTATTATGAGGCATGTAATGGAAGCTCAGGTCGAATTTGCAGTGCACCTGAGGGTTAATTGAATTTGCCACGTTGGTGCCTTGGTTGGTGGGAGCTTGCCCAGATGGCGCCCTGGGCAGCCTGTGGGGGGCAGCTCTCCCTCCAGCTCCAGTGGTAGGGCTCTGGCACTGGGCGGTTTGGAGGCCTGAGGGATATCTAGTGGTTTCTGTGGTGGGGTGTACCCCGACAGCAAGGGGGTCCTGAGTAGCACCCGTTCTGCTGATGCATGCCCCCTTCCTTGCTGATGGTGAGGAGAACTACCCAAGGTTTCCTGACAGGGACAAGGTTTTGAAAATGAGAAAGTCCAGGTGCTATGGTACATGCCTGTAGGCCCCAGCGGGGACTGGGGCTGGAGGTAACTTGAACCCAGGAGTTTAAGAAGTTAACAAGCTTTTCCTTTTCTTTCCTCTCTCTCTCTCTCTCTCTCTAGCTGCTATTAACTTAGCGAAGCTGAAACTTTTCAGACATTACTACGTCTTGGTGAGTAAAACAGGAACCTTCACCTATCAGTGAGCCAAGCAGAGATGTGGTGGGAGCCAGTCTGCCGGCTCCCTGGACTGTCTTCTTGTGGGAAACACAAGCCCGGAGTATTTGTGATGTGCTGTAACTACTTAAAAGAGTACTGCGTGCTGGGTGTGTAGACGGAATCAGCAGGAGTGTGGCCTGGGCAGACCCTCGCCCGCAGGCAGTCTGCCACCTGCTCTCCTGAATCCCTTGGGAAGCAGGGTGTGCCTTGTGATCCCCGCAGCCTTTCTTTTCCCTTCTTTCCCTTTTCCTTTAGGAAGCTGCTTTCATACCGTTGAGATAACATTTCTCATACTTTCGATTAATAAGGATCTCTCTTACAAGGCAGGCCTGCAGATTTTGCAAAACCAAGCATTGGACAGCAAGGGGCATGGTCGCTCCGTAGCATTCCACCAGACCAGACCTCTAACTTGTGAGGGCTGTGATTCCATGCAACGTGTATGATGTGCATCTTTCAGGTGTTCACTTCCTGACTCCTAAAAGAAGTTTCCAGGTCTCCTGTCTGTGCTTATAGCATTGACCACCTCTGAACAATTCTGTCCAGAAACTTGAGTAGCAAAATAGAGTTAGACAGTCCACCCCACCGCATGGGTTTTTATGTCATCCTCCAAAACAGGTGTTTTGGAGCCTTTCTTGACACTCACAGTGCACATAATGCCCTTGCCTGCCTTCACTGCGAGCCTGCCTGGCTGCCCGAGAGTATCGGGTCAAATGCACAGTCTGCAGTCAGACATGGAGTCTCCATCCCAGGGAGGAGAGATGGAGGCCTCCTCCCCAGTCCTGCATGGTTTCAACCTGTCCTAAGTCCTCAGTGTTTGCACCACTGCGGACGATGACACCAGAAGGCCACGTAGCCCTTGTGGGGCCTTGGTTTCCCTGTCGTAACTTCCAACGCTTCCTTCCAGCCTCTGTGATAGGAAGCCGAGGGTTCGCTTGTGGGTAGATGGAGAAGGGGTCACCCTGCCCTGGTAGTGGCTGTGGTCAGTGTCTCAGTCACCCAAAGACAGTGAGTCACAGTGGCTCTTCCTGTCTGAAGCATTTATGAACTAGCCCTATGTCAAACGATTTTCTTTGGGTAATTCCGTTTTCTTTTTCACAGTTCCTTTGTGAAAGCTACTTGTTGGGGAAAAGAAACGTATTGTGGTTTCTGTTGATTTTTCTCCTCGTTGCTTTCCTCGTCCTAGATCGTGTGTTATATATACTTTACCAGGATCATCGCGTTCCTCCTCAAGTTTGCTGTTCCGTTCCAGTGGAAGTGGCTCTATCAGGTAGGCCGTGTGCTCAGGGCATCGTGGGGTCTGGGCCTAAGCTTTGAGTCTTAGGATTGCTTCTGCTATCTGGAAATAACCATGAAGACCTCCTGTTGCTTCTAGTCTACAACTAAGATTAGCTGTTTGTCCAGGAAAGCTGCTGGGGTACATGAGAAATCTGGAAACAATTATACTATTGGTCTTGCTTTTTGATCTTAAAAGTCTTTGAAGAAAAAAAACCAAGTAGAGAGAGTAAGATTTGCCTAGTGTAATTAGAACTTAGATGAGATGTAGCCTTTTCCTTCAGTTGTAAAGCTTAGAGTAGTTCAGAATCCAGAGCTCCTTTTCATGCTGTATTATTATAATTACTATTATTACTTTTTTTTTTTGGTCATGAGCCTTGAACTCTGGGCCTGGGTGCTATCTTTCAACTCAAGGCTAGCGCTCTACCACTTGAGTCACAGCACCACTTCCGGTTTTCTGGTGGTTATTTGGAGATAAGAGTCTCATGGACTTTGTTGCCTGGACTGGCTTTGAATTATGATCCTCAGATCTCAGTGTCCTGAGTAGGATTACAGGCATGAGCCACCAGCATCTGGCCTAATCGTAACATTTCTTTGCAAAATTATAGAACTGATTAGCTTGCCAGGGGAAGCCACCAAATGATTTAGAGACCTTTGGTTGTTTTGTTGTTTTTTCCCAGAGGGAGGCGGTAGTGCTGGGATTTGAACTCAGGGACTCACACTTGCTAAACAGGTGCTCTACCCCTTGAGCCATACCCCCAGCCCAAAAACCTTTGTTCTTGAAGAATTCAACTCAATGCTTTAACCACTATAGATCAGCAAGGGTATTAAACAGTCTCCTAAAGGTACAGTGCAGTTGAGCACGGTGGTGCCCACTTGGAACCCTAGCACCCAGAAGGCTGAGGCAGGATTGTGAGTTCAAGACCAGCCCAGTTACATATTGAGACTAATTTTCAAAACAGAAAGTGGGAGTTCCCTGAGAAGACTAAGTAATGCCTCTTCAGTGTCAGCTCAGAGCTGGAAATGCTGCGTTGGTAATTGGCGGGCAGAGACGCTGGGGAAATGTCGGATTGTTTAGTTCCGCTGCTTTCTGATGACCTGGGGTGGTTTTTAAATTCACAGCTCCTGGATGAAACAGCCACACTGGTGTTCTTTGTCCTGACGGGGTGTAAATTCCGTCCAGCTTCTGATAACCCTTACCTGCAGCTGTCTCAGGAGGAAGATGACCTGGAAATGGAATCCGTGTAAGATACCTTCCTCCCTTTCTTCCTTTACCCGCTCCCTTTGTGTGGGGAAAGCAGCCAGCCCTCCCACACCGCTGGACAGGGGCACGAGCCCTCCTGGCCAGCCCCTGCTCCCAGTGCTGTGGGGCCAGTGTGTGAGGACACAGCTGACAGCAGGCTGCCAGGCCCGCCATTGGGGGCTTCTGCCTGGAATCATCCTCACGGTCCTGCGAGTCTGCCCCTCCCCCAGTCACCCTGTGGCAGGGGACTGGCAGCTCACAGCCTCTGACCCCTGCGTTACAGGGCAGGGCTCTGGGGTCCTGGTTTTGGGGAAAGGACAGTCGTTTCCCATGATAAGTGGCGATGAGTGTCTTTGTTTGGTGGCTCTGAGTCTGAGGAGCCGGGTCATGCTGTGTTTGACGGTCAGGTCCAGCCTGAGGTCCCTCACGCTGCCAGGAGCTGCTGTACTGCCCTGGCCTTTTGTCGTTTCACAGTTCAGAGGCAGAGGCTCAGCCCACACTGAGCCCTGCCTGGCTGCCAGGGCAGCTGGCATTTGACAGCTCTTCATGCCGGCTGCTCCAGCGGGGCCCAAGGGAAGCCAGTTCTGCAGGGGGACCCTGAGAGCATGTCGCTGTGCAGAGTAAGAAAGCATGTCTACCCACAGTGGGGACCAGCAGGAGCCCTTGGCACAAGTAGCAAGATCTGAGCACCTGCCTCGCCCTGCTGGCTGGTGAGCAAGCCCTGTAGCTAACTGAAAACAGCATGCTCAGCCCATGCTGTACAGACACACCTGCGGCCTGGTGGGCTCTCCGTGGCCAGTGACCTGCCCCCAGCAGCATCCTCCGCTGGACTGAACGGCAACGTCATGGAGGAGTGCCCGGCCCCCATGTCTGCCTCAGCCCTGGGTGATGAAGAGAGGCTGCGGAGATGGAAGCTTTGGTGTGCTGTTTGCTTCTCTCTGATGGTATTTCACAGTTCAGCAAAGAGCCTATGTGTGTTCATTCAGCGAGGAAGATGAAGGGAGCGAGGAAAGGTGCCCATGCCAACAGACTTGGGAACTAGAGCGAGGAGAGAGGCTCAGACCCTTGGTGTGGCATCAGTTTACCCTCCTGGGACGGGAAGAGCACTTCATCACAAGTGTTTCCTGGCTTCGTGGCAGGAGGGAGGGAGGCCCTCGCTGAGGAGCAGGTGTGTGCAGGGTGTGTGGCATGACCGGGGGCACGCATGCACTCGGCGAGGAAAGTGAATCGGGACGTTCAGGGACGTTCGTTCGGTGTTTCTCTTTGGAGGGACAGAACCACAAGTGCCCCCGGACTGCTTTTCTGTGTCTCCTTGGGCCTGCCCATGTTGCGGAGAGGCTTGTAAAAAATTCAGCAACCTGAAAAGTATTGGATGAGCTTTTAAGAAGCAGACTCGGTGTAGCGCCTTCTGTGCTCCGCACAGCTTTAATGCTCTCGTTATTTCTGTCCCTTGGGAAATGCCTGGGTGGGCCCAGGGCCAGGACATTGCCTCCCTGGGCTCTCGTCCAGAATTCCATCCTCGGGACAGTCATTGGCCCTCCGCTGCACCCCACATGCTGAGACTCCAGACATCATCCCCCAGCCAGGCCCTTCCATGTAGCAGCTTTAAACACAGCTATGCCCAGGGCTGCCTCAGCCTGAACCATCCGACAGCAGCCTGCAGTGGCCACTGCTGTGCTGCGTGCGGGTGGTGGTGGTGGTGTGGGCACTGGTCCCGTGTTGGGTATGGGCACCTTGTCCCCTTCTGGTTTGCGTGGAACCTAGCACCCCAGGGAAGCACTGTGAGGCTGCTGGAACCCCACTGCACCCACCTAACCTGTCCCCATACTCCTATCCCCTCCCTAGTCTCCAGCTCCAGTCCCTGCACCTTGCCTGGCTGCAGGGTCTCCTCTCTCCGTCTGCCCATGTTCTCTTGAAACTGCTCTTCTGCATCTTGCCAGGCTTGCCTCTCCTGCCTTCCACATTGCATTCACCCTGCCCCCACCGTCCCCCACTTTACTGGGGGCCAGTCCCCTCCCTCTGCTGACTGTGTCCTGAGCTGTGTCAGCCTGTCAGCCTTCTCTGCTGGCAGATGCCCTTGTCCCCGTGGCGAGCGTGTGGCATGCAGATCCCCACCTGCCGCTGTGAGGGAGGCCCCAGCCCACAGAGGATGCTCTAGAGCAGCAGCCCCAGCCGCACAGCACAAGCGGGCCACGGGGAACCCACCCCATTTGGGGTTAGGTTGGGAGGGGGCGGAGCTTGGAACAGCTGTCAGCCAGGGGAGGAGCAAGAGGAGGACAGGGGGTTCTTGTGGACAGGAGCAGAGCTGAGGAAGCCCAAGTAGTCATGGGAGCGCGGCATGATGGAGGCTGGCGGGGGGTGGGACAGCTGGCCCAGCTCAGCACTGGACAGCGCCTGCACAGACCTGTCTCTTCCAGGCCCCTGGATGCAGAGGGCCTGACCCTGGGCCCATTAAGGCCATGAGGTCCACCTGTAGGTGCAGGGCGCAGGGAGGGCGTGGCGGCGGGGTGGCCAGTGTGGAGCTGGTGGCGGGGTTGGTTTTGTTGATTGGGAGAGCAGGCTGGGCAGGCAGTATCCGTGGGCCTGGCTGTGCAGAGCTTGGCCTCCCCCGTTCCTGAGGCCACCGAGGCCCACGCAGTGTTCTCACTGCTCACCTTTGTGGTTCCCATGGTCTTCCTCGGTGCCTCACACTGACGGCCCAACGAGGCCCCCTGCTGGAGCTCCTGGGTAGCAGCCTGAAGAAGGCAGCACCTGTGTGTGCTAAGACCCTGCACCTTCTTCCACAGTTGGGGCGCAGTCAGGACGCAGCACCAGCCTCTGAGGCTGGCCGGCACTGGCCTTTCTGACTGGGAATCGTGTGTGGCGGTCAGCCTGCCCGCGATGTGTGCCACCTACAAACTGGGGGCTGTGCAATGCAGGGAGCCAAGTACTGGCTGTGCGACAGCCGCCGCCCAGCCTGGTCACACAGCACATAGCACTGGTTCCACAGCCCAGAGCCCACAGGCTCGCGCCTGCCATCCAAGCTCCTCAGGAGCCTGAGATTGGAGGATCACGGTTCAAAGCCAGCCCGGGCATGAAAATCCATGGGACTCTTTATCTCCAATAAACCACTCAGAAAACCAGAAGTGGTGCTGTGGCTCAAGTGGTAGAGTGCTCGTCTTGAAATGAAGAGCTGAGGGACAGCACCCAGGCCCAGAGTTGAAGACCCACGACTGGCTAAAAAAGAAAAACAAAAAACAAAACTGGTCCGCAGTCAGCAGGGCGCATTTCCCTGTTTTCCCTCCCTCACCACCATTCTGGAAAGTGAGTTCCTTATTAAGCTCAGAGAGGTCGAGTGACCCGGCCAGCACTCCGTAGCCAGCCAGGAGAGAGGCTCGTCAGAAAACTCTGACGTGTTTTCTTTCTTTAAAAAACAAAAAAAACTGGAATGGTGATTTGAGGACTGCTTCTGAACTCAGTACTTTGCACTCCTGCTTAACTTGCTTGCTTATGGCTGGTACTCTACCACTTGAGCCACGCCTCCAGCTCAGCTTTGCTGGCTAATGGAGAGGGAGTCTCACAGCCTCCTAGCTGCTTTGCAGGTGTTCGTGCTCAGGCTGGCGTTGAGGTTCAGGTCTCAGCCTCCTGGGGGGCTAGGCTGACAGGCACGAGTCGCCGGCACCTGGCCCGACCTGACTGCACTGCGGTGGCGGCGCTCTTGGCTACAAGACCTGTGGCTTCCCTAATTGGCCTGATTTCTTCCCTATTTCAGAGTGACTTCGTCAGGAGTGATGGAGAATATGAAGAAGGTCAAGAAGGTGACCAACGGCAGTGTGGAGGCCCCAGGGGACTGGGAAGGCACCGCCTGACAGCTGGCCCCCAAGCGCTGTCAGAGTAAACTTCTAATCCTCCTTAGTCCTATTGGTGAGCAAGAGCAGGTCCCAGCCGTGAACTCTGGGCCCCTCCGGATGGTGACCGCGGAGCTGTGACCAGAAGCAGCGCCGGGACACCTCCTCAGGCTCGTTTGGGAAAACATCTGCGGCTGGTCACAGACAGCCAGGTCTGTCCTCCGGGGGGAGGACGAGGAAGAGGGTGCTTGTCTTTAGTTGACCTTTCTCCATTGGCAGTCTGACTCAGGCCTGGTGGCCAAGGGCAGCACAGAGACCTGGGGTGGGGAGCGGTGGCATGTCTGCCCGGCGCACGGCGTCACGCGGGGGACATCAGCTGTCCAGGAGGACCCCATGTCCTTGAATTGGGGAGGGGGGACAAAAATGCCATTCTTGTAGAAAGCAAGGTGAGTGCCCAGTGCAGCCAGTAGCGTTTGCCCGTTTCCCGACCTTCCGTTGCCCCAGACCTTGTTCCAGGTTGTGACAGTGACAGGGAGCTGGCCGCGGGCCTGGCCTGCTGTGTGCCTCAGGCCACGATCCTGGGATCCACCCTGCTGTGCAATGGGTTTTCTGACCAGTACCACTCCATACGGGGAAGAGGTGTATCTCTAAGCCAAAAAGTGTCCCGTGGGCTCTCCCTGGAGGCCTGCGGTTGGCCTCCCTGTCGCTTGTATCCTGTGACCAGAGTACAGGAGAAGCAGCGGAAGTCTCCTTCGGGAGCAGCTGGGGGCAGGAAAGGTAAGGCTAGAGAAACACTGAGTGCGGGCAAATTGGTGCTGAGAAGCCGGCAGGACCTGGGAGGAGAGCACCACAGAGGACTGGTCCCCAGACCCCACACAGCATTTGCTGTCAGAGTCAGGGGTGCAGACCTCTGAGGAAGCAGAGGGTCTCGTCCAGGCTTCCATTTGAAGAGAAGAGGATGCCGTGGCAGCGTCCGAGTGAGAGGATCGAGCCCCGTCCCCTGTCCCCTGGCACAGCATGGGCTCCACGGCAGCCTGCTGGCTTGCTGGTGAGCTGCACCTGCATCAGAACTGGGCCCTCAGGGGTACACTCAGGAGCCCCAGGAGTTATGGGGGTCTCCCCACCCCCACCCCATGCTGGCCTATGTCCTGTGTGGCTGGTGAGGCACATCCAGAAAGCACTGAATTGTCTTCCTTTCGGTCTCGGGAAGGGTACGCTAGTGCACGTAAACTTGGAGCTCTGTGACAGGAGGCGGGAGACTTCCATCTCCCAGGACATGTGCTATTTCCTGCCAGCAGGTTGTTGACTAGATAGCTAGCAAGAACACCAGGCAATGATGCCTCACCTCCAGGGGGGCTTCCTGGAGGTGGAGGCATGGAAGCTAGAGAGCGCAGAGAGAGAAAGGGCCCAGCCCAGACAGGCTGCAGCCTGAGGACTTGCAGGGGAGCCTCCCCACATCCTGCATCTGCGTGCCTGCATGCCTCTGCACTCAGTACCGCGATGGCTGAATGCAACGGCTCGTGTCTCGCTCTTCTGGAGCAGAGCTGAGATCAGGCTGGTGAGGAAAACCAAACACCAAGTTCCGATGGGAAAGTGCGCTCACACTCTCCATTCTGCCCTGCCCACGGCTTCCTCCTGGCCAGCGCTGAGTAGCTGTGACCCACCAGCAGCTGCCCAGCGCCCGTCTTCCGGCCGCCTTCCTGGTCTGCCCCAGCCCTGGGCCCAGCAGAGCCCCATGCCAGTGGCAAAGCTGGGCAGAAAGCTGGGGCGCGCATCCGAGCCCCTGCGGTATTTATAGTCTGGTGTCCTCCCTCTCCCTGCTCCCAGAGTGCTGTGCACTGTCCAAATGACAGCAAGCGCCAGCGCCGCCCGCCCTGCCCTCGCTCAACTCACTGGGCCTCCGCCACACGGGCTGCTCGCTGTCCTGCAGGGAGCAGCTTGCTCCATGCGCGGCTGAGTCAGCTCATTTCCTTTCAGGAACCGCCCCCCCCCCCCCCAGCAAGCCACGGCAGCACCCGGCCCCTCAGGTGCCAGGGCATTTGCACGCCCTGGTTCACAGCCTCTCCCTCTCCTCCCTCCTCCCCTTAGCACTCCCCCTCCTTCTTTTCCCTCCTCTTCTCCCTCTCCTCCCCTTCCACTCTCCTCTCTCTTTCCCCCTTCTTCTCTCAGCTCCTCCCTCCCTCCCCTCCCCCCTGCACCTATTGATTGCGATTGTGCCTTGCGGCTCCTCCTCGGGAAGGCCTGGATGCATTACAGTGCCTCCCCAGGCAGCTGTGCGCAAGCGCCCCGCAGGAGAGGGTGCACCACGCCGCAGCTCGGGACCACTGTCGGCTTCCCGCGTCTGAATGCCCGTCCTGCGGACCAAGAAAGGGTCCGCACATGGCATTCTGCCACGCCCCCCAGGCATGTTCCTTGAGGAAGGCGCTGGGAGCCTGGGCTGTCGGCTGCAGTTCTGGCCCAGCGCCATCACCAGGGGAGCAGGGAGTTCTTAAGAGCCTCACGCCTCCCCCCCCCAGCTGCTGCATTTCAGGGGAGATGTCAGCACCTCCAGCCCTGCATCCGCCCTTCCCGTGCCCTCTGACCCCTGGCCCAGCCTCCCCACAGCTGATGGCAGCTACGTCTCCCACGTAGGATTCAGTGTGCTAGTGCCTTCCCTTAGACGCTGACCCGGTTCCTCTTGGTTTATGACGAGGTATTTCTTTGGAACAGACCAAAAGTTCTAAGAGATCGCTGCA